CAGGGCTTGCCCTGATTGGTGGGCGTGAGCGCCCCCAGCGGCGCGGGTGTCGCCTGCCACGTGCTGCCGGGTGCGAGGAGCCTGGGAGCGGGCGACTCCCCCGGGCGGCGAGGGGAAGAGACGGGGACTGTGCCCACGCTCCCCTGGCAGCCACCGGGCTCAGCACCATTGCCATGCCATCCCCTGGGCCCTGCTCTCTGCGGCGCCCGGCCGGCCTCCAGGGGCCACGAGCCGGCGCCGTCCCCGAAACGCGGGCAGGGCCCTGGCCCCAGCGCCGTGCGCAGCTCCGAGCAGCCGTCCGTCGCACGCCCCGCTCACGTCTGTGTGGGTGAAGCCCAGCGAGCGGCTCGCCTGCCGGGCATCTCACACCCGTCGTAATCCGCGTGTCACGAGTCAGCTCAAGCCAGATTATTTCCACACTCCCGTGAGTCACCTCCCCGCTCCAGCACGGCTCCCAGCCCTCTCCGCAGGCCGTCAGGAGCTGCCTGAATCGGGCAAATCCCCAGGTTTTTTATCCCAGCTCTGCTCAAAACAAGCTCTCGGCTTCGTGAAGCGGCGCGGGCGTCTGAGCTCGGCCCCCGCTGCGGAGCAAAGCCGGAGCCCGACGCCGAGCGCTCCTGGAGACCGGCTCGCTCCTGGCGACCGCGTCTCTGCAGCTGCTCCAGGATGGGGGAATGCACAACTCCAGAGCTCTTGGTTCAGGGACGACACCTTTTATTAGACCAGCTCACAGGCACGGGGAAGCATTCGAGAGCCCGCGACCCTGGAGGAGGAAGCGACTCAAACGCCTTGGCAAAGGCTGGAGGAGCGCGAGAGCGCAGGGGCCGCGCGTCCGGCGGCGGAAGCAGGAGGAGGTGCAGCCCAGGTCGCACGCTCTCGGCCCTGCCTGCTGCTCGCTCAGGAGCTACTGCCGTCGGGTCGTCCCGCGCCCGGGGCTTGCTCACACCGTCCCCGACAGAGGTGCAGCCCTCCTTCCCCGGCGGCGATGCTGAAAGACACTGGAGAGGCCTGGAGTTTTGCTGGCGATCTCTTCTGTTGGATGTTTTATCCAGCACGAGAGAGCACCCTAAAACATCCTGGCTTCTCTCACGTTGTCTGGACGACCCTGGCTCCCACATCCCTCCAGTAGTGCCCAAAGCACTTGCTGTCCCCAGCCAGGAGCTGGACAGACGCTCAGGCAGGGTCGCCGTACAGACGATGCATTTGTCTCGGTTGGGGTCCTGGTCCCCGCAGCTGCTACGTCTCCGATTTACGCCTCCGATTGGCACCTTGTCGCACGTCTCGGCCTCTTGAAGGCTCAGGACAAGCTAGCGGCTGCTTAACCTGGCAGGGGAGATACCACGTAGCTGTGCCCAAGACGGCCGTTGTCCTGAACCGCACCACGGGAGAACTGCTCTTCTGGCGTGGTTCAGCACCCACCGAGGTGCGGCAGCTTTAAGCCCAGTTTACGGGAATGGGGGTCTGCTCCCTTGCTTGCTCCTGGGGTCTTAGGGCCGAGGGCAAGCAAAACTTGGGGGCATGCAAGCCCCAAACCTCTGGGCTTAGGCCTGCAAGTAGGACGGCCGCCAAAGGTTTTGGAAACCTCTGAAGCCCCAGGTGCAGAAGGAGGGTGCGTGGCGGTGCAGGGCCACTTCCCGTTCTGCGCTCTCGCATTTGGACTTGGGTTTGGCCTTGGATACAAATTAAATTCAAAACAAAACAAAACCAAGCTCCTGGCTCTGGGCTTTGAAGTCGGAGAACCAGTAGTGCTGCTTCTTTCTCCGCAGCTAAGCAACTTCTCCAAGCAGAGTCAGCAGTCTCGTCCCCGCAGGAGAGGCGGCAACCAGCCCGGGCCCGGCCGAGCCTCCTGCGGGGCGGGGCTCCAGCCCCTTCCCGGCCAACTCGCTGCGGCCAACGCGGGG